CCACCCCGCCCCCCTCCTACTGCTGCTACTGCTGGCGAGGGGCGGGCAGCGTTGTGCGCAAGCGCAACAACCCCCCCCTTCGGGGCACAGGAGCACGAAAGCCGCACTGCGCACGCGCAAAAATCCCCCCTCCCGGCCACTGGGGAGCGGGAGGCGCAAAGCGCAGTCGCAGAAAACACCACTCTCGGGCATGGGAGACAAGCGCTGTTATGCGCAGGCGTAGACACCCCTCCTCCCGTCTTGAACATACAGGGGCGGGCAACCCTGTGCGCAGCCGCACCAGTCTCCATGTAGGCCCCGCCTCGCAGCCTACCCCACGCTGTGCCCCCATTGGCCGCTCTTGGCACACGGGGGGAGGGGGAACAGAGGAGGGCGGGAGAGGCGGGCGGTGGGAGAGGGAAAGTAGGACTGTGGCGCGCGGTAACTCCCGCACGTGGCTGGGTTCACCGTGTTCGACGGCTGTACGCAAGGCTAGGCAGGGCTGTCGCGCCTTCAGGTGATGTAGCTCCCCTGCCCCACAACCCGTCCAGGCGGTGGCTTTGCAGCTCCGTAGGTGCCCCGAGGAATGGTCCCGAAAGCACCCTGTCTCGTAATGGGCCCAGTGGGGGTGGCTTCTGTATGCCTGCATTATGGGCATGCTATCTGAAGTCTGCCCTGTGCAATCTATCACAGCAGAGGAAAAAAGTATACTCTTGGGCTACGTCTACATTAGCCCCTTTTCCGGAAGGGGCATGGTAATTTCAGAGATCGCAATAGGGAAATGCGTGGGGGATTTAAATATCCCCCGCGGCATTTAAATAAAAATCTCCGTCGCTTTTTTCTGGTTTTTAAAAAAGCCTGAAAAGAGCGTCTACACTGGCCCTGATCCTCCGGAAAAAAAGCCCTTTTCCGGAGGATCGGGGCCAGTGTAGACGCTCTTTTCCGGCTTTTCTAAAAGCCGGAAAAAAGCGGCGGACATTTTTATTTAAATGCCGCGGGGGATATTTAAATCCCCCACGCATTTCCCTATTGCGATCTCTGAAATTACCATGCCCCTTCCGGAAAAGGGGCCATGTAGACGTAGCCTTGTAGAACCCTGCAGTAGCTATGCTGTAATGTTGCTCAGTCTTGTGAATCCCGAATCCTCTATCAACTAATAATTGTGCTGCTCAAGGGTTCTCTGCCAAGACTCCTTAATGTTCTTTGTCCTGAAGCCTAAATCCAACATGTAACATACTCTGAAAGGTTAAATCATGAGCCAGCCAATGCCTCGCAGAATCAGTAATAGGGTTTGGACATCTGAATTAGCAGTTTCTGTCCAGTTGTAGGTAAATAGTGAGTACAGGTGACTGCCATCTCATTTCAATTTGAAAGGCCTAGCGCACAATAGGGCCATCTTCAAATGCTTGTCTGAGCCTGTATCTCACTGAGCATTGAGAGCTTTTCAGTAATATTCATTTAACCCAGGAGTGTGTAATCAACAGCCCAGATCTGGTTCACAAGGGTTAATAGCTGGTGGGCCACCAGGCACTATTTACCTTAGTGTCTGCAAGTACAGCTATTTGGAGCTCCCACTGGCCACGGTTTGCTGTTCCTAGCCAATGGGAGCTGCAGGAAGTGATACAGACCTGACCACTGCTTCCCCCAGCTTGTATTGGCTAAGAACAGTGAACTGTGGCCAAGTGGGAGCTGCAAGCAGCCATACCTACAGATTCTCAGGTAAATAAAGTGTCTGGCAGCCCTCCAGGGTGAACTGTGTCTGGCCCATGGACTGCTGATTGACTACCCTAGATCTAACTTGATTCAAATAGTACTGACAAATAGTACAGAATGTTACGAATCATTTAAAAGGGGGATAGAGAATAAGACAGAATATCTTATTGTCTCTATATAACACCATGGTACATCCACATCTTGAATACTACATACAGATGTGGTCGCCTCATCTAAAAAAAAAAAGCATAAGAAAGGGCAACAAAAATTATTATGGGTTTGGAACAGGTCCCATATGAAGAGAGATGAAAAAGACTGGGACTTTTCAGCTTAGAAAAGAGAAGACTAAGGGGGATATGATAGAGGTCTATAAAATCATGATTGGTGTGGAAAAAGTGAATAAGAAAAAGTCATTTACTTGTTCCCATAACATAAGAACCAGGGGTTACCAAATGAAATTAATAGGTAGCAGGTTTACAACCAACAAAAGGAATTATTTCTTCATGCAGCGCACATTCAACCTGTGGAACTCCTTGCCAGAGGATGTTGTGAAGAGCAGGACATTAACAGGGTTCAAAAATGAACTAGATAATTCATGGATGTTAAGTCCATTAATGGCTATTAGCCAGGATGGGTAGGAATGGTGTCCCTAGCCTCTGTCAGAGGCTGTGAAAGAGTGATGGGAGAGGGATTGCTTGAAGATTCTCTGTTCTGTTCACTCCCTCTGTGGCATCTGGCATTGGCCACTGTTAGAAGACAGGATACTGGGCTAGATGGACCTCTGGTCTGACCCAGTATGGCCATTTTTATGTTCTGGAGTTGCCAGTCATGGCCGTGGAGTTACTGTTGAGTTCTATTTTGCACTTAAAATATAGATTCAAACATTTTATTGTGTGTGTAAAATATCAAGTTTTATTCCCCCCCCCTCCGTAAATGTACAGCACTTACTGAGTAATTTAAACATAGATTAGGTAAAAAAAGCAATTGAGTATCCTCATGTGTTCAGTGCTGAATGAGCAAACCAACCAGAAGCTCATCTTTTTCCAGTGAATTTTTCAGACTGCTATTTCTCTTCCACCTTTAGGCATTGAGTCCCTGGTTCTCTTTTCTTTCTTTACCTCTTTTTAATTACTATTTTCCACATACTTTACCCAGTACCTTTCTGCTCAATCCCTGTCTCCCCCTCAGATGGTTCTTATTGTTGTTAACACACTTGAGTTTTTTTTCTCTCTACAACTCCCACTAACAACTGCCATTTCCACTTCTCAAATTCCAAACAGCCAAATCCCTCTTGTCATTCCCCAGCTGCTTTCTTTCACTCCCAAATCCCAGCTGTATCTGTCACCACTCCTAACTGGCCCAGAGTCATAGGGACAGTTCTGGAACTTTTCTATCTCCGAACGTTTCAGTCCTGTTTGATGTGTGAATAGCTGCCAAGAGGAAAGGAACATCACTGTATTTGGTTCCATTACCTCTCAATCATAGTAACTGTTAGTACCATGCCTATTGGACCTCAGAAATGAGAAGCAAGGCACTGAGAGCAGGGAAACAAAATTACCTTCTGCTTCCTAGGTTTGTCTCTTCAGGCACTGTTGAAGCATATAATTGGGGGAAACTGCCTCATTCTTTGTATATGGAGTCTTCATCTTCAGAGAGGGTAAAGTGTGGCTTGTGTTTTTTCCATGTTTAGTAACGGTCTTCAAGTATAATCTCTGGAGCTTCTTTATAGTGCAAATAGTTATATCTGTTTGGATTGTCTTTAGCATAAACCATACATTTACCATTCACTGCAGTTCTCCACAGTTGCATATGAAGGGCCACAGCTGAATACTTAAAAATGTGGACATCTTTCATCTTCCACAAGCCACTTCCAAATGGGAACATCACAGTGGGTGAAGCCTATGTCTACTCCTGACTATGGATGTTAAATAGCGATTAATTGACTAGTTCAGTAACCTCATGAATTCTAATTGGTTAGTTGACTATTCTGTAGTCTCCCTGCTGGAGGGGCCGGCAGCACTGTATCAGAGGCTGCAGCAGCACAGGGTGCTAGGTGGGAGTTGGTCCACAGCAGCATGGGGTGGCAGCAGCCCCTGTCTGGAGGGGGTCTGAGCTCATGGACACAGCACAAGTCAGAACTGAGCTGGGCTGCCTGTTTGCTTGACTCCTAATACACTTTAAATGCAGAGCTGCAGCAGGGTAGGTCCTGGACCAGGCATGAGCCTGGACAGCGCTGGGCTGCTAACCAGCCTGCTAAAAAAGGGAAAGGGAAATGCGTGTAGTCTAAAGCATTAACTGATAAGCTTTTGCTTATCAATTGGTTAATCAACTACACTATTACATCCCTACTCCTCACCATTCATTTGAATCTATGAATGATTCATAGACTGAAACCGACAAAGTATTTAAATCCATAAAAACTGAAATTTACAAACAGGAAAAGAACTAGGTTACTTGAGAACATATTAGGGTTTGATTTGAGGATACTGTGACAAAGCTCCTATTTTCATACAGGTAGCGGGAGGCTGAGTAATCTCTCTCCCTTTTTGGGGAAAATGGCAACTCCACATCTAATTGCTCACCTCAGTGGCTCAGTACAGCTCTCAGTCTAACCCCTTTACCTAAGGGACAAGCTGTAGTCTGATTTGGCCACTCGTCATTGGCACAGC